CCTGTACATGTATATATTGATCTCGAGGAGTGAATTCTACGTAAACTGTTAACATGTAATATTATTATGTGCCCGTAATAAAATCGGATTTCAAATATTTTAAAGTGTTCCCCGACACAAACAGTGATCTTAAATTACATTTTCAAAAGCGGCACAACGCTATACGGCGGTATAGGTATAAAATTATATAGTTCGTTATGCATATAATATATTATATTATATTGATGTGTACACGTACACGAGGAGACGGCGGAGGAGGTTTTAGAGTAGGCAACAGTATGCCACTCGTATACTGCAATACAGCAGTTGTATACTATTACGATTATTATTTTATATTCGTCAGTTTTGTGGACAAAGGAAAAATAATAGCGTTTTTAAGTGTGTGCGTCCCGACGGGAATGCCGTAACCATCAGCAGCGGTCGCCGTATAATATGAATGAAAGCCGAAAAAGCGATAAATACACTAGTTTTATGTGACACGTTTTTTTTTTTTCTTTTCGCCCTCCTTTGGCCGTTCACGCACCCAGAGACACGGGACCCCGACCGGCCGACAGTTTGTTTTTACAGACGAACAGACATGGTCCGGAAACATGAATGGACCTAAACGGGAAACATTTACGCAAAATCGTTACACACACCATTCATTAAACATTACAACACACACGTCATAACCAATGAATAACACACACATGCGCCCCAGCAGCACCACACACGCATCCGCATACGAGACGCACACATTGTATAAGAACGTCGCATTTCGTATTCAACACGTAACGTCGATGCGTGCGGTGTATCCACACATGTTTATCGAATAATATACAATTTAATATGTACGCGCCGCATACCGTGGTGGCCGTCGATCACGTGGCTGAGACTTTTCGACTGTACGTAAGAACGACGTTTGTGCGTACCCCACGAATCGCACACGTATTCCATTATATTTCCTACAAATACCGTCCGGGCGAGGACGAAAGATTTACAGAGAAAATATTACGATTTCTTCGGGGACGTTTCTGATAGCTATGCGCTCGAAAAAAATATGTTTTCGGGACAGTGTCGGATGCGAGGAGAAGGACGACGCGCTAACCAGAGGCGGCTGTGCTAACGAGATCTGCGTGGTCGTGAGGCACGTTTACCGTCAATTAGAGGGAGACACGACTCGCGCGTACCAAATACAAACACACACACACACACACACACATATTCATCATTACACACGACTCTTAAGTTACGTATCAATTTGACGAACGGCGGCGGATATTAATGCGATTTAAAGTGCGCGCGCGTATACGTAGGTACTATAATATACGGTGCAGCCCGTAACGCCCACCGAAAACGAGTCATCGTGAGGATAAAAAAAAAACCGAACAAACAACCAAGCGCCTGCTTAAGGACCACGCGTGAGACGAGAGATACGTATTATAGTATAGGTATTATAATATATTGTGCGTATACGATATTATTACGACGGCGGCGGCAGTGGCGGTAATAATAACCTGCGAGGCTGCTGCTCTTGGTGTGTCCGAATCGATAAACATTGTACTCGCGCGCGACCCGAGGAAGGCTTTTATTGAAAGGAGAGAATAAAAAAAAAAACAAAGTGGCGCGAACGCATTATCACGATTTCCTTATACGTGGCGGCGGCGTCGGCGGCGGCAGCATCTAAGCACAACAATAATAATAATAATAAAAACAACAATACACATGGGCTAGCGTGTATTACACACAATACGCGCGTACTATATACAACGACGGACCTGGTCGAGAAATAATAATTTCAATAACAAACGACTATAGTGGCGTCGGCGACAGTGTGAACTATATACGTGTATATGTGTATAATAATCATTTCTTGTGTAGACGGTATTTCTTTTTTTTTCGGGATGTGGGCGCGAAGGGGTAAACACGTATTCTTTTTATTTTTTTTCCTAGACGCCGAGCGCTAAGTCTGCTCTCTGCTCCTCCGACTATATGCGACCAGCGATACGTAGTAATAATCGTGGTAATAATAGTGTCGTCAATACACCCACCCGCAGGGCACAAAGCTACAACGCAGGACAACAACAATAATAATAATAAAAAAATAAAATATTCTGAAGACGCCCGACAGACACCACAAACACACACGCGTGTACGCACGCGACCCGACCCGGTCCTTTCTCTGCACGTATATACTAGACTCCGGTCGGGTCGAATTATAATATTCGACTTATAGTCGTCGGCCCGAATGAAAAAAAGAAACAAAGTAAAAAATTCCAACCCGAACATTTCGGCGGCCAGGAAAACACGACTACGGACGGCATCCGGTCAACGTCGCGCGCTTGAACAACAAAAACAACTTCGTCTGCGGGCACATATAAAAGGTAAACAATTTATAATACGACGTACGTCTGCGTGTTTGTTGTTTTACGACGACGACAATAATAATAATATAGAACCGATCGAGGAGATAAAAAGATTTCGTTTTTAACGGTACCGTATAATAAGTATAATATATTCTATCGATGTTATTATTGTAATAAGTACCATTCTTACCATGGTCCGACGCATACCCATTACCCACCGATACTTGATCTGATCGAGCTGGTTAATCGATAGGTCTGGTCCCCACACACGGCGCGTATTATAAAACTGTCGACTTTTAAGAGGAAACGTATTTTCCCTACAATGACTTTGACAGATTGATTATGCCAAAACCTCACTCGACAAAGACGACGACGGAGCGTTTCAATGGGGACATTTTTTTTTTTTATCAAATCTTAACGAATAATCCACAATTGTGTACGTCACGGTCGCGGTGTCCAACAGCGGCGGCGGCGCTTCGTTCTTGAAACGATTCGTTTCATCATAGTACGTACTACGCGTTATTTTCATTTCTATTACGCCCTCCCGAATCCCGTCCCCGGCCCGTCTCCTTTACAATAATAATAATTATTATTACCGTCGCCTTTTGTTCGACAAAATCCTCCCACGACGACACGCGGTAATAATATTTCGGTTTTTCGTCTATTCTCGTTTCGGTTGTTATACATAATATACATATATATTATACTATAGTATAAGGTGGTAGTAGTAGTGTGAACGCGCGAGCGAGCGATATAGTTTCTTCTCCTTCACAAAAACACTCTCTCACTCTGTCTAGCACACTTTACACCCATTGTGGTGGTCTTCTGTGCGCGCCCAAATCACGAAGGACACACATAATATACACACACACTCGCACGCGCGCGGGAGATAGAAGGAATTTAAAAAAAAAAACTGGCTAACGTTTCCTGCGCCGCCGTGGCGTGTACCACACGCCGCCACCGCCCTTTATTAGCATAACTCCTATGTATAAAAAAAAAAAGTAGGTACACTCTCTCACGGCGACGATAATCGATGACGGCGGCGGCGCGGTGGTAACACCACTCTTGGTCGATGATAATTTATTCAGATATTTTTTTTTTTGTCGCCCAATTTCGTGTTCGTCTGCGGCGGCGGAGTCTAATATCGCGCGAGGGTACACACAAACTCCGGAAATCTACCCGTCTCCGCCTCACCCGCCGTTAATTACATCCAAAACACACCGACGATAGAGGACAGCGATTCGGTCTTTAGTATTTATTTTTCAATCGATACACATTACTTTGTTGTCCCCGAAAGTAACGCGCTGACTGATGTTGTGTGGAGATCGCACGCAACTGCGACACAAAAATAATACGATACGCGGGAAAATAAAATATTATAATAGCTAAGAGTATAATACAAATTACTAAGTCGGCCGGTCACACCACACACAAGATTTGCGCGCGTCGGAGTAGCCCGCACAACAATATTAATTCCCAACGACGGCGGAGAGATCTTATTTCGTCGCCAGACATTAACGTGAAAGGGTATACCCCGAAATTACGCTTTCCCCTTTGACCTCCCCCACCCACCTTCGTGACGCAAGACTTATGAGTCTTTCGTATTTCTACGCGGTACGACTATTATTATTTCTGCAAACCCCAACCGGCCACCACACGCCAGATATTTATTCCAAATCTATTACAATATTATGGACAATCGATTAAGCGTCGTATTGAAATATGTAAACATTCTAAAATGGGTATATAGATGGTAAATGGAAATGGAACTACGAGGTAATCGCCGTCCGACTGGTTTTTTACGTTTTTAAGGCACGAAATCACATACCTACACATACCACCAAACGGACAGCGTTCGTGACGTAGTTTTTAAATTTTATGTTTTCTAACCGATTGAATCGAATACATACCAAGTAAAATACGCGACGATATGAATTCGATGAAACATATATTATTTTTTATCATTTCCACACACACGAACACAAATAAAATGTTTCTTTTATCCGAGCCAAATCGACCAAACAAATTTCAGTTTATTTGTATTTGTGTAATTCGTCGTTAAAATACGTTGGCGGTCTGTGTGCAACACCGAATACTAAACACTACGCCGATTTACTTTAAAAAAAAAAACAGAAAACAAATTCAACAAAGCGTGTATTTCATAATTCATTATGTCTATTATGTTGTATACCAAAATGAATGAATCCACTGTGCATAATTGACAGTTTTTTTTTTTTGCGAAAATAACATCGAGATTATAATAATGCGTTTGAAATAATATCTGACGAAAAAAAACCTAATAACAAAACCCGATTTCATGTTCATTCCTGATACCAAGATATTTATAGTTTAAATATAACTACGAAATATGTTTGAACTATCGGATGCATAAAAAAAATACACATTATTATTAGAACGAATTTATCAGAAAAATACCCTAAAATAATATCCATTACTCAAGAAAACATAAAAAAGAAAAAATGGTTTCGAGTCGTCGAACACAAACAAACGATTGTAAGAGGAGACGACACCAAAACAATGGGTTTGCAATGACAATTGACAATGAACTGGGGGGGAGAGAAGAAAACACCGACCATCGGGTTCAATATTATAATGATAACTTGAACGTGAAAATATAACGAGCAGCCGACTTACCAACAATTCTTCAGAAGTAATGGTATTGTCCGTGTACAGAATCAAAAGGTCGACGGAAAGGCAGTCGGACTCTCGAAGTTTAGAACTGACCAACAGGCAAGTGGTACCGAGCAGCTGAAGGTGATTTTTATTGATCGGATTTACCGACAGGAACCTGTCCATATAGTTGACGGCCAATGGAAAAATGTCTTCTTGGCACTTTTGCTCTTCGCAGACCTGCATAACAAAAAAAAAAACACACAACGTTTATAACACCAAGTAAAATAGAATATAATATACTAATTATGGACATAAAATATAAATATATAATACTAAGACGTACGGAATAATCAATTTAATAATATATTTAATAACACAACGTAGTTTTTTATAATTAGTACCTAACTAATAACGTTTTCGATTTGAACGCCCGAGTACGAGACACATAATTATTATAATATTATAATCATATTATTTAGCGTATGAATTATACGCATAAGTTGGTAGGTTTTCGGAGAACGAGAACGCAACCGTTCAATTATAATAATAAAAAATAATTGCAACGAACTGTACTCGAGTACTCAGAATTCCAAATAAACCAACACCTATTATTTTTATTACCATTTATATCGTCATATTATTTTCGACTAATTTGTGAACGCTGTTTATTTACACGAGTTATTCTTCACTCGTAATCACCGTTTATCATCTGTGAACCGGAAAAGAATATTGATAAATATAAAATGTTTGATATAATACGTATATTACATGTTTGTTCCACAGTACGAGCAACCTTTGAAGTTTGAATACTATACAGTATACATAATAAAATATCATAATATACATTCTACGAAGGTTTTTTTTACTAAATTCAGCGTGTACGGCTAACTCACCAAAAATCAAAATATCGTTCTTACGCGCAGTCGATTGGAATAATTATTAGAAGAAGCGAAGACTTAAAATAGTATGTTCATTGTGTCATGAAAGAAACACGTCACACAACGGAATAATAAAGATCGATTAGAGATAATACGTAACATAAATCCATATTATGAACATTTATAAAAATTATAATACGGCACACCACGTTGCTCAGTTGTTTGATATTACATCATATAAGTTGTAAAACAATATAATTATGAAATTATCTGTTTTTTTGTCGAAAAAACCGGTGTTGTGTCGCCCCAAGTCGAATCGTCGTTGACGTTGACGAGTAATTACAGGGTGCCAAAGTCGAGACACGATTACACACGAAACACGTCGCTCCCACCCGACATAATAAAATTCAACACGTTATAGAAAAAAAAAAAAATTCAGGAAGAGGACCATCCTCCCTTGTTTTGATGTGTGATGGTTTTATTGTCTCGGACAATACCGGTGGAGGCGGTCGCGGCATTCACACACGCCGCAAACACTGTGCATAAACAATACGCCTTCATGTACCATTATAATAATAATATGTAGGTACCATTGCGTTGCATGGAGGTAGGTAGTATGTTATGTATTATAGGTGAGGTACTCGACTACAACACAAGACGCGAAGTGGCTGCGAGCTGCAGTGTTCTCGTTCGTCGAGTGAAATCATTAATGGGGTAGATAAAATATAAATAATTTTTACGACAACCATGGGAAGAAACCCACGGCGGCGGCGGCGGCGGGTTTTTGTATATACAATACACAGTTTCCGGGGGACCACCGTTTTGTTATTTGGGACTATATGTTCTCGGTATATACGTATAGGAGGACCTGTAACATGCACAGACCGCGTAACGACGACAAGTGGCGGCGTTTTCGGACATTTCCTTTGGACCGCGCGTGATATATGCGTCCGGTCGACCCGTTCGCAGGACACGAAAAACGACTATACGAGGCACTAAATTAAACAGAGCGCCGCCGAACACGTGTGTCACGGGGTGGTGGCGGCGGCGGCGTCTAAGACGAGCGATCGAACAAGGCGAGAAATTAATTTATAAATTAGGTAGAGAGAGACCTGGACTAAGACTTCGGCGACGATAATAGTAATAATAATACGTGGGAATGCTATGCTATGTATATATACATACATGATGTGTGCGTGCAGCAATCATAACGACTATAGTATAATATATATATATATACTACCACCGATGGAATGTGCCTCCGGGTGGCTGGCTGACTGGTCGAGAGTATTTATCCGAATCCCAATCGCGAGGGATGATATATACATAATAGCGTTTCCTCGCGCCGCCGTGGCGCGGCGGCAGTCAATTACCCAAGGGATAACGACGACGACCATTGGCTTAGGCTTGGAGGTGGCTCGGAGGTGAGAGATTTTATTGCGAGATTGATGAGCATCTCGGGCTGTATATTATAATGTATAATGCGCTCGGAGAAGATTGTGGGTGGAGCCAGGTCGTAGTCTTCGGCAGCGGCGGAGGTACCACTAACCGGGTTGTTGTCAGAGAGACGAGGGGCCCGGATGCCGACAATGGACGCTGGAATGTTGTTAAACCCGAAACGCATGTACACGTAATTGAAGGATAGGGTTTTCGGGTTGTTTCTTTTCGGTTTTTTTTTTAGTGCGTGTGTCCGTTCCGTTTTACGGCGCCCGTGGTGGGGAATAATAAATTAGAAAATTAAAAACCGACGACTTTTATATAAGAAATAGAATTTTAATCACCGACGCCGACGGTCGGTCGGTCGGTGTATGCAGCGGACGAGTAACCGGAGAGGGGAGACTCGTTTGTATAGTGTGCTCCAATGTACTTACCAGCGAGATGATCGAAATCAATCTGTGCTGGCGGTGGAAAGAAAAATCACACTCTCGTTTACGTGAAAATTAATCGCCGTCGTTGTTGTCGTGACTGTGGCGATTTTGAAAATAGACAGAATTTCTGGTAGCGAGTCATTTATCTATTAATCGAGGGTGTCCGAATTTTGAATACCATAGAATTACGTTTTAATTGAGTTTTAATACGTGACGACGACACAGGTAATTTACGAATAATTTGTACTGGCTTGCTGGCGACTATGACGTCGACGACGTCATATTATTATAATATTATACTCTCGAACCTTAAAATCAAACGGCTTATAGAACAACATTCTGTGTAAATTACCAGCAAGCCGCAGGTTCTAGGATCACGAGTAATTGGCACGTTGCCACCGGGCTATGGGAAAGAAAAAACGCTTAATCAAAATTTATCACTCCCGTTCAATTGATACCTATATCGTAATATGTATATATACATACAATATGCATAAGTATATCGTCCGGGAAACATACACACGTGTAAAGTATAAATGAAAAAAATTGGAAAATATAGCAAAACATCATAACGCGTTAATATATTATTAGGATTTTATCATAATATTATATACCTGATAGGACTTATTGGGTAATGAACTCTCGTTGACTGGTTATATGTATAATTTGAAAAGAGAACAGGAAAGTAAAATAATAATAAAAAAAAAAAAACATTGAATGCGCTTATATATACGACGATACGACGACATTGTCTTTGTGCCGAAAATTGTGTGTGTGTGGCAAAAAAATTTCGTTGTTTCGACCTTGTCTATTCGCGTGTAAATTTTTTGCGCGTCTACCCAAGGTCCGTACGTGCCAATTGAGATATGTATCCCACGTGGGAAGGGATAGTAAGTACTTCCGCAGATGGAGGGGAGGTATATAAAGCCTGTCAACGAATTAAAACGTTTGCACGACATAATAATGTTTTGCGCAATTATTTCGTGTTTACATTATTTACCAAGCTCGATTTTGCGCGATTTTCATCTTTGGGAGATGCGAATTTTTATAGAAGTGCAGTCCACATTAGTTTACTGTTTTTCATTTGTTTTTCAACTCGACGTCAACGCGGGTTAGTTGTTAACCTTACCAATCGACGACAATTTAGAAATTTCAAAAACGCGCGGACACTTATTATTATAATGCTGTTGCGATAATAATATATAAATTATTGTTTCGTTCTTGAATCGATTCGCGCCAAACGCGCCGCGCTTATCAATATCGGCACTGGACGCAAAAAACGCATTCTCAATAATAAAAAATAAAGCCCGCCGCCGTCTCGACCCGAGTAGAAAATCGTCGCCGTCGGTGTACGAACACGCGCGTAACGTATACCACCATATACGCATAAACGGTCGTTAATAATAAATAATAATAAAACATATCGAGTGACCGTATCCCCCCGCCCCGTTTCACACACCACTCATCCTGTCCACTGATGGTTGGCCGTTCAACGACGATGACGACGAAATAAATTATATTAATATTATATTATACAAAAATATTACCCATGTATAGTCGACTCGCACACATCGACGAATACCGATTTTACCCAAGGATAATAATATGTGGCATATAATATTATTATCATCGTAACTTCCCAACTGCATTGCGAAGGCGGCGGCGGTTAATGCACGCGTCCCCAGAGGCGTTCCGAATGAAAAGAAGGAAAAAAATTCCGAAAAATAAAAATTTAAAATGGTTAAAAACAATAAGCAAACGCGTTCGGTCGGAAACTCGAGCAGTCCCACCGTCGGCCGCCAGATGACGGATTTAAATTTTAAATAATATGCGTCGTTCAATACGTTTATATAATAATATTACGTTCAGAAGATTCGGAAAGAGCTATTAATTTTGTTTTCGTATCATTTTTTTTTTCCTGATAATACATAACCTCGAGCCCCGAGCCCGTTATTAGTCGTGTCTTGCGTGCAAATAATAACAGGTGTCAATAACTCGTTGCCCGACGGTCTCTAATCGTCGATCGTCGGCGGCGTGGCGACGATGACGACGACGACTAAATTTTTCGCGATTCGCAGCCGACACGTCTTTATAGTAATAATATGACATTAGCAGTATTTTTGGCACACGGAACACTGTGAAAATCCCAACAGTTTAATCAATTGGAGATCTCGTGCGCGGTGGTGGTCGTCGTCGTCAACAGCCAAAAATAAAAATAATATGACTATAATATTATGTATGATTTCCGAACAATATAAACGCGTGGCCTGCCGCAAACACGTCAAGCGAGAAGCGATAACGATAAGATAGTCTCTGTGGCGCTGTTTCTCTCGTCGTCGCACACCGAAAAAACCATTGACGAAAAGAACACAAACTGGCGAGTTTTAAAGCAGTGCCGCGTGGACTAAAAATATTGTATTATTTATATTATTAATATTATAAATCGTTATCTACGGCAGTCGCGACAAAAGCGACGAAAATGTTTAAGTTA